GCATCAAGTCCATTGCAGTGTGTGTGCGTGTCTGTGGGGGGGAGGGCCAGCAGCCATCCATGGATGGGATGGATAGATCCATGAATGAATGATTGGGGGTGCATCAGATAGTTATTATAATAATTAAAATAAATAAATTTCAAAATAACTATTGAACAACAATAATTTAAAAATATCATTCTAAGTTTTATTTTTAAATATATCTTGAATTTTATAATACTTGAATATAAATTTTTAGTTTTCTTTTCAAAATGTCAATAAAATAGTAAATTCCATGGTATATACATAAAATAAATTTGAATATCAATGGATGGTTTATTTTCTGGATTGAGAATCAATTTTTAAGAATATCTTGATAATTACCTTTTTATAAACCAATCCTTGTAGATACTAAATATTATTTATTTATAAGTCTAAATAATATTAATTTATATTATTACTATTAAAATGATTTAATATGCAACCTTAAAGAATGAAATTTTAAAGTTACTTCACACGCTAATGTAGGGTATTACTATTACCACCACAATTTTTCCTTTTGCTACTACAACTTATTTCTATTAACTTTTTGATTTTTTTGAAGTTAAATAAAATTTCTACATTATTTGAAAATAATTAAAAAAATAAAATTATTAATTTTTTCATTTGAATAGAAAAAACCAAAAAAATATGTGGAGTAAGTAGAGGTGGCAATAGTAAGAATTGTGGTGGCATAAGCAACATCTTTAATCTATGCTCCGTGTGGCACTACAACAACCTACTTAGAACTTCTTATTTTTTATCTTAATATAGATTATAATATTAAAATACTATCATAATTGCTTAAATGGCTTAAATAATTGCAAAGAAAAGGTTGGATAGAATTACTTTAAAGAGATAAGTTAATACATGTCTTATAGTAGTTTAATAAAAAAAATATATATTTAATATAAAAAATCATTAAAAAAGTTATATATGTGTATGTATATATAAATATATATATATATATATATATATATATATATTCTTAAAAATTTATCAAATATTTATGCCATAAAAGCTATAAAAGTTTATAAGTATTTTAGAAGCTCTAGAATAGGTTGGATTTAGAAGAAATCTAACAAAAGCCTTTGAATAAGTACTTGACATATAGATGTGCAATTATTTCATTAAATTCATATGTTACACAAAAGACTTGCTCGAACACCATTCCACCACCATTATAAATCTATTTTTATTTTTATTTTTCTCTCTATAAAAGTGTGCAATAGACAGAAGGTTGTCTTTTTATAATTAGAAGCTTGTGCTTTGCACATGTATATTATTATTAAATTATAAAAAATGAAATCAAACATATTTTTTTTTTTATAGATACTAAAGTTTCTATAAAACCAAAGATATTATGCTATTGGGTACTATAAGCTCTATTGAAGTAAATTTTTAATAGATGTATAATTTTGGATTTTTTTATATTTAATGAATATAAAAAATATATAAAATAGTATAAACTTTAATACATATTTTAATTCTCTTTTAAGATTTTTTTTAATGGCTTATCATAGAAATAACTATATTTTCAATTATATTAGAATAAATTAGAGTCAACAATCTAATAATTCTTTAGTACTAGGATACAATAAAAACAAAAACTTGATTTTTAAATAACATAGAAATATTCTTGAAACGTCAAATATATCTTCAAAAATACTCAAAAACTTATTATCAAAGTAATAGCTAAAAATATCAATTAATATTTTTATAAAAGTAATATTTAATATTTTCTAATATAAATATATAATAATATTTTTAAATATTTTTTTTATAAATATCTTTAAGAGCTAAAAAAACAATATTTATAAAAATTATGTTCTTAATTTGAAAAAAATAAATTAAATCTTTCGAATAAATTAAAAATTCAGAAAATCTGTATGTTTTTCCTTACATGTCTTATTTAGTATTTTTTTTAAAATAAATTAAATACGTGAAATGACTCAAAAAAATATATTTATATATACTTAAAACCTTAAAGTATTTGATAACACCAATTATTTTAAATTTATAATATTTTTTATTTTTTAAAAAGAATAAATTTAATAGAAATTTAATATTTTGACCTTTAAAAGATTATATCATTAATATTTTTTTTGAAGAATCCAAAATTGGTGTGTTTTTGTAGAAAAAATAATTTATTTTATTTTATTATTTTATCTTAACTTTTAATGGAGTACAAATTTTAATAATATTTTTTTAATTTAAATATAGGCTTTGTTTTAAAAGTAGTGGTTAATGTTATTGTAAAAACATGTATAGTAAAATAACATAGAAATCATTTTAAAAACTAAAGAATGGACAAGTATTAAAAATATGTCCATATATGGTTTTTTAGTAATAAAATTGAAGTTTTTGCTTTAAATTACTTTTTAGTATTCTCACTAACTAGAAATTTTGTAACAAAGTTCTGTTTAATGTTAAATTTTTTCATAGTTTTTTGTTTTGTTTTGATTTGATTTGTTTGTTTTTTTTGCATATTACTTTCTATAATATCGGTTATACTTAACAAATTTGGCACTAATTTTAATCTAAGAATCAAAGCAATTTTATCATAATTGTTTTAGATTAATTATAAATATCCAAATATTATTTTTTATGAATATATTTTTATTAGTATTTAGTAACTATCTATGTAATCATAAGATTTTAGATAAAATCTAAAAGTATTCAAATATTATTCTAATAGCAATGAGATAAAAGTGTCTAACTTACACTAACTTATAGTAGTCTACTTTAGTTTATTTATTTATTTTATTTTATTTTTATATAATATTTTCATGTAACGTTCTAAAAATATATACAATTTAATGACTATTAAATACTTAGGAAATCGACTGAGGAAAATTTAGAGGTTTTTGAGTATACATAAAACCAAATTGAAAAATTGCTAAATTAATGATCACTCATTTAATAAATACTTTAAGACTGCATAATTAAAAAGTAATCAATTTGGATGTATCTTACACGGTAGTTTAATATGAATTTAACATCAATTAATTTAAACTATCTGTAAGCTTTAAGACTATGAAAGTTTATTATTTCAAGTTATTTAATGTATTTTAATTTTGTTTTGAATTTTTAGACAACTCGAATTTTAAATTAATTCATAATGAATCCGTTTGAACTATACTAAAAACAACTTTAATTAATGCAAGGCATCATAGAATTATGTCAATATAAGAAAAATAATTTATTATGCTGCATTTTGTATTTCTGAACTTTTAATGGACATAATAGAATTGTTATAACAAATTTCTACTTCAATCACTATGATATCTTGCAGATTGCAATATTTATTACAAAATAATTTTCCAAAATGATGTTTTTAAAAAAATTTAAACCATTTATTTCTTGTTTTATGATTTCAACAGTGAATATATATTCCTCAAATCAATAATCTTACAAAATTATATTAACAATTTTAGAGTAAAATAGCAAACAAACATTAGCTCTGCCCTTTCATAGATGTTTCTACAATTGGTCAACAAATGAAAATCATATTACCAAGATTCAGATTCATGGAATAACCTACTAAAACATACTAGAAATTTAGAATCACACTAAAATACTAAATAATACATTCTTGAAACGTTTGATAAAAAATGTTCAATGATCATCAAAAGAAAAACCCTATAACATCTAATTTTTTTTTCACACTACTGTATGTAAAAATGTGATAGTGATAATTACGTGTTACACACGGGACATGAAGAATGAAAAAAAATAAAAATAAAAATAAAAATAAAAAAACCAGTTCACATATATTCTTATTTTTTTATATAAAATGAGTTCCTTGGCTAAGTTTTTTGTACCAAGGCATGCTACAAATAAAATCCAACCTGGGACTTGGCTAAGATCATAACAAACCTTGTAATTCATAAACAACCCAAATCAAATTTTATTTTATTTGCACACATTTTTGTTCAGGTGCCCCTGTTTAAATGAGGAAATATTTAAATAATAATGAATTCACAATAAAGTCAATCAAACAATGTACATCACAAACAGCTCTATGTATGTATATACAGTTTTTTTCTTTCTTTCTTTCTTTTTCTCTGTATGTGTGTATGTATGTATGTATATAAATTGAGTGAGAACAAATGCAGTAGAGAAGTCACAAATAAAGACAAAATCAGGTACAAAAACAACTATCACTGTAGTATCACTGTAGTAGCAACTACGCATGTTCCCCATCATGTTGTATATTTACACATAGATATATATATAGACACATCAATCAGTAGTGTTAAACGTATTTGCCATGTTCTGCACCATGTTATACACACACACACGCACCAATATATATATATATATAGGATTATATATGCTTGGCATGGAAATCTCTGAAACCACCAGTCCAGTTCACTGCAAAGGTGGCGAATGGCAGACAGTCAACCGTGAAGATAAAATCTCCAGTTATCTGCCTCAGAAGCGGTGATGCAAACAACAACCGCGATCTGATCACACCCGAATTCAATGACACACTGTAACACAGCAGCTGGAAATATAGCAATGTATTACACTACTACAACAACACACAACAACAACAACAATATATCAGTGTGATCATCGACAGCTAGCTGTTGACGACGGCGAAGTAGAAGAAAATGTTGGCCAAAATAAACAATAAATAACTACCAGAATTATTCTGAAACTATTAAAAGGGCAGGAAGGAAATAAGAAGGAGAATACAACAGAATCCAATCCTAGGTAGAAGAGGATACGCGTGGATCTGGTTTCCTGAGCGAGTGGGGTCGGGGTTCGGAGATCGAAGCGATTTGGATACCATGGAGCAGAAAAGATGACGGATCCCCCCCCTGGCGGTGGTGGATCTGCGCGGCCCAAATTTCAACGTTGAAATCTGAGCTCGTGAAAAATAAATCCAACATCTAAACCTGGTGGCCCGGAATTAATGAGCCCCGCAATTAAGGACGCCGTGGGTGTCGACGAGTCAGACTGCGACGACGACGACGACGATGACTGTGTGCATGACGGAGTGAGTGAGTGTGGGTGTGTGTATGCACAAAGTTGGAGCACGTTGGAATGGTCGTCACCCATAAACGCCGCTGTAAATTGAAACGACATTTAGTGAAAGCGGGGAAGATGGGGGTGGGGATGGACTGGGTCGTATAGCCTTGGGAGAAACGCCGTGGGCTCAGTCGACACCGCAAACGGTTTTAAAGATCGGCGAGGGTAGATTCAGTTCCAGCAGTTGGGGCAGGCAGGGGCCCTGCACACGAAGAAGATCACAAGTGGGTGTGCCGGGGATGCTGGCTGGATAACTGGCTGTCTGGCTATCTGGCTGATTAGAAAGAGTGGACACGCACAGACAGTCACACAGCTACACACACACACACAAGTTGAGCGAGAGAGTGAGAGAGAGAGAGATCGATAGAGAGAGAGACAGAGAGAGAGAAAAGCTTCGGTGGGTTTGTTCATCTCGAAGACTGATTCGAAAACCTTCTGCAGACTTTCGGCGTGAGCTTTCGAGAGTGTTCATTTGGTTTTTTTTATGTTTGGGTGTGAGGATTGTTGAGGGAATTATACTGCAATCCAGCAAAGATACCAACGCCACGCCGTCACGGATCCTGGTGGATAACGGAGCGGTCTGACGAGTTCAGGGTCGCGTCGTTGCGAGGCGCACTGTGTCTGCAGACCATCGCATTTTTCTTTTGAACAAAAAGAAGAAAAGAAAAAGAGAACAGAAGTATTTTCAGAAAAAATAGATATTGTTGTTTATTTTTCTATTTTTAATTATTTTGTTTTGAGGTTGAATATACTATTATCCCCTTTGGAGAGAGGGAGGTACTGAGAGCGAGGTAGAGATAGGGGGCGGTTAGATTGCGACGTGGTGAGGGTGATGGATCTACGGAGGTGGATCTGCAGTGAAATTAAAGCCAAGAAACAAGTGATTTGGTGAGAGTGCGAGACAGAGAGGGAGAAGTGAACGGTGAGAAAGAGAGGCCGTCGACTCGCGGGCTAGATAAAGGGGGCTCATAGACTACGGTTGGGGAGCATTCTGGGAAGGGTCTGTACTCGCCCTGATTTCCTCACTTCTACTGCGTCAATGCCGTAAAACGTCTGCCTTCCAACCAGAAATTTAACACCAATCTGGGGATTCATAGTTCTGTAGGGGGTGGGGGGTATGGAGAAAAAAACAATAGACACACACACTCCCATATATATATATATATATATATATATAACAGATCACAGCAATGAAGCATTGCCAACTGCTGAGATCACGTTGACTTGAACTCAGACAAGTGATGATTGGTAATGTACCACAGTGTTGATCGACCTGCAGCCAATGTGTAGATCAATATTAGTTCAAATAAATATCTATATATCTATACATATATATATATATATATATATTTGTTTTTTGAGTGAGAAAGAGAAAGAGAAAGAGAGAAAAAGCTGAGCTTGTGTTCAGTGGTCGACAGCGTGAAAAACAAAAAATTGAGCTCATCGTGCACATATCTGTCTGTGCTGATCAGGCAGCTATCTTTACAGTACTGCGGGAAGTACGCGAGTACTGGAGATTTGAGAGCGCTGTCACAGATAGCTCGACACGCTCCAAAAGTTTCTTGCATTTTGTTGCGTCCAAGGAGATCTTTTGCCTGAGGTCACGTTGATGATTGTAGTCTCTCTCGCGTCTCCTGGATGGTGACCGTAAAAGGTTTTGAAGCGCAACCGAAATTAATGACTCATTGATCCTTAACCAGGTAGCTAGAAGGGAAGTGCACCAAAAGGTGAGGGGGGGGGGGATGGCCCTGGCTACTGCCTGTAGGAACCTGAAGGGTCAGCACGCAACCCAGCTATCAGAATTTTTGTCTGGATTTGAGTTTCTTCATAGGGTGCAAGATTGGACCAACAGCCCGTGTCGCCCAATCAGCCAAAAGTTTCGTTGATGCCGAGCTCAGAGGACCGCATCGATCAGAGGACTTCCTGTCCACTATAAAGAGGCAGCCTGGCAGCAGCTCTATCAGTCATTTAGTGCAGTTACACAGACACCTTTCAGAGCTTGGTTGAAGGTTTTAGAGTGCTCTCGGCCATAAATCAGCGCATTCTAGTGAGATCTGAGCGGAAGCAAAAAGATGAAATTCACGAGCTGGGTTCACGTGGCGGTGGCCTTGATGGGATGCATCCTCGCATTCGGCTCACCGACTTGTCACTGCAGTGGCAGCAACAGCGAGGCCGACAGCCGTCGTGGGTCAATTTCAGCTAGCGATCGCATGTACCTGGAGTCGCTCTCTCTGCAGGGCACGCTCACCTTCGACAACACCACGGCCTCGGCCAAAGATTGGGGCCAGCTCCGTCGTTTTGTGGCGCCAGCCGGAGTGTTGCAGCCAGCTTCGGTGGAAGATATTGCGACAGTTGTGGGCGCTGTGGGGAGGTTGGAGTCTGACCTCACTGTTGCCGCTCGCGGGCTTGGGAGCTCTGTTGGGGGCCAATCTCAGGTGCCAATGATCTCTCAATTCTCCCTGTGTGCCTTGGAGAATCACAGCCAGCCTTCACGCTTCTACACAGTGAAGATTGAATGAAATTCGAAGTTGGGACCCTCTTCTTTTCGTATAGCAATTTTTTTATTTTTTATTTTTTAATTTTTTTTCTCGATGAATTGATATTGGTTGAGATGTGGTTGCAGGCACGCAATGGAATTATCATCGAGATGACGACTATGAAGGGCATTGCTGTGGTGCCATTAGGTGACAAGGCCTCACAGGGTGTGCCGTTCGTGGAGGCCATGGGCGGAGCACTTTGGGTGGACGTGTTGAGAGCGAGTCTAGAGCACGGGGTGGCTCCCCGATCATGGACGGACTACCTCTACCTTACTGTCGGAGGCACCTTGTCGAACGCTGGAGTGAGCGGTCAAACTTTCCGCCATGGGCCCGAAGTTAGCAATGTCTTGCAGCTGGAAGTTGTCACAGGTACAATTGCGCACCAGCTCACAATCATCTTCCGCTTGGCACAGCTTATGAAACAGCACGGTTTCACTGAATATTTGTAAACCTTGAATTTCCGCGGATTCAAATTCCAGTGCCTCGCAGATTGCTGTAAATTGTGAAATGATCATCTTACTTCGTGTAATTAATGAATGCGAATTGGATTGTTTGCGGTTGAAGGAAAGGGATTGGTGGTGGAATGCACGCCCACGAAGAACTCGGAGCTTTTCTTCGCAGTGTTGGGAGGCTTGGGTCAGTTCGGCATCATCACCAAGGCGCGCATCGTTCTGGAAAAAGCCCCACAAAGGGTGCGCTGGATGCGAACCCTCTACACAGACTTCGTCACGTTCAAGAAGGACCAGGAACTGCTCATCAGCTCTGCAACCAGCAAGACCTTCGACTACGTGGAGGGCTTCGTGGTGGTGAACAACGAGAATGCCATCAACGGGTGGGGTTCAGTGCCATTCGTTCACAGTGAGATCAGTGAGGCCATGATCCCCCCTTCAGCCAGCGCTATCATGTACTGCTTGGAGGTGATCAAAGCTTACTCAGCAGCCGATGTCCAGACATTGGATGAGGAGATAGAGAGCATGTTAGCTCCATTGAACTTCCACCGCGAGCTGCTGTTCAAAACCGACACGACCTACTTCAAGTTTCTGGACCGCGTGCATGAATTGGAGCTACAGTTGAGATCTAGAGGTCTATGGGAAATTCCTCACCCGTGGCTGAACATTTTCGTGCCCGCATCGGTGATTGATCGATTCGACATGCTGGTGTTCAAGCACCTTGTCACGCACGAGTTCAATGGCCCTATCCTAGTCTACCCCGTAAATAAATCCAAGTGGGACAAGAGGCTCTCAGTGGCAGTTCCTGAGGGCCAAGAGGAAATCTTTTACATTGTGGCCTTCCTGCGCAACAAGCTACCCGACGCGGCTGGCGGCCCTTCTTTGTCCACCATGCTGGAGGACAACGAGAAGATCCTGCGCATCTGTGAGCCTCTGCAATGCAAGCAGTATTTGCCCCACTACCAGGACCGCAGCCGGTGGAAGCGTCACTTCGGCTCCAAGTGGGAAACCTTTGTGCAGAACAAGCAATTGTTTGATCCCACCGCCATTCTCTCCCCCGGCTTGAACATCTTCTCCCGTCGCCGCAGCAGTAGCAGCCTTGGCAGCAAATTCTCCCTTGCAAATTTCACTCCTAGTCAAGCCCATGCTGAGTAATCGAGGCCAACAGCAACTTAATTCGAGAAATTGATTAGGTCTTTTTTGGACTCTGCTTAGGAGCTATCACCCCATTATCCGACAACCATCTGGTCGGAGCGAGTGGTTTATCCTTCTGTATGGACTTTTAGTAAGCAAGTGATGCAAATAGGAAGAAGTTCATGACCAGTTGCAGTGCTACAGGTAGTCGGGAGAGAGAGAACGCTCAAGGTGAATTGGTTGGGTGTACATATTCAACGGTATATTTTTCGGAGTTCCACCAATTTCTAGCTGAAGGAATTGCAGCACCCGGTGAGTTGAGGGAAGGAGAAATCAATTCTGAAGGAAGCCGATCCTGCCCTGTTGGTTAGCATCACCTGTGAGCATGATATTTGAAGGTGTGATGACATTATATATTTTATCAGAACTTAGGTTAAACAGAACATGTTAGCCGACGATCCCCAAGGACTGGTCTGAGTGGGGGGTTCAGTGGTTGTAAAGACACAAATTGGTGGCTTTATTCCTTTCAACAGTCAATTCAAGGACTTTGTGTTGAGGGAATTTTCCTATTCAATTTCACTTGCTTACCTAATAGCTGATATATTCTTCTCCTCTCAGCGTATTGTTTCTTAGGTTTACTGCCTGCGCGAGCATGCGTATAAGTTCATTATTCATTGAGGAAACGCATCCAAGTATGCTAAGTCTTTATACCAAATATGCAACAGAAGAAAAGAGAACTTGACGTTGACATCCATGCGCAATGAAATCCATGTTTAAATGAGAAGGGGATGGACATGTTCTCACCTTCCTTGGAACTTCCCATCAAAGAAGGATTTCGCTTAGCTTTCCTGGAAGGAAAGAAATAAAAAAGTTTTGCAATAAAACGTAACAGTAGATGAAGGCTCTTCAATGTAGCACAGAAGGCTCACTTGGACAATTTAAAAGGTACTCATTGGTACCTGAGTGAACTCTCTGATAATGACTTCTGGTTTGTGTATGGCACTGGACAATCTGCCAAATTTGCAAATCAAAGTTGCAGTACTGTTTCATTTAATCTGAGGCATTAGCGAGTGGCTATTATAGATGAACACAACATTTTGGACAGTACTCTTACGTCCATACCAATACTGAGTGTACTCATGCAACCATAAAGGCTTTGTGGCAGTTTGGTACCAGCTCCAACTCTTTTTAACTTACACACTTCTGAGTAATGTAGTGTTACAGATAGCGACTGCATGTCTCATTCAGACTCATAGTAAGTAGCACTTAAATCCAATCACCAGTGGGCGTTGGGTCTCTCTCTGTGTCTGTTAGGCCACCAATGGATATGCTACAATTGAAGAGCAGTTGAGTGGTACAGCTTTGCTATTGTTAGAAAAAATGTTTCATTTGGGGGTAAGCCTGTGAGGGCCAATGGCGAAAAACACACCACCATTGACAGTATTAAATCTCTAGACAACTTGATAATTCTCACGACAAGGTAAGGATCCCAGAGAGGGGTGCTAAGAATCATCCCAACAATTTCCTGAGCACTCGGAATGCACAGTCGATCATAGCCATTAAACAGTCGCTCTGGCAAAGCAATGTCAGACAAACAACAGAAGAAGATATCTGAACTGTATTGAGATGCTGAAGGTGGTTATAGGGAGGATCACAGCCCCTGGTTCTGTCATTATTAAGCCTGTGCTCTGAAGAGAGCTGAAACATGGGACTCTCATTATCCACGGTTGTGACATTCTTTGCAGTGGATTACGACCTCAGACAAGATTTCATAACTTATTCTGGCTGGTATGTCTTGGCCACTTAAATGTTTCCTTCATCAATGGACCTAATTAGAGCAGTTTCAGACCATCAACCATGCGAGAGGATGTAGGACGAAATGGGGGAGGGAGTGTAACTAGAGGTCGAAAGTCTTTACGGAGAGATCCGGGACCAACGTCAAGTACCTGCGCTGAAAGTCTCACTTACTTCGGCTGCTGAGGTGGCTGCAAGAGACTCTGACTAAATCTCTGCTCAGGTAGGAGGAGGTTGTGCATGAAACCATGCGAGGAAGTGATGAAATATCGCTTTACCTTCAGCGCAGGCAAAAAATAATTTTGTGGGGGTGTGATGTTACATTTAGACGTCACATTTTAAAGGACTAAAATGCCCAAACTTCTTCGGCAACTTTGGGTCGAAGTCCAAGTAAGTCGTGTTGGGCAATACCCTGGGCAGCGTGTTCAGTGCTTCTCCATGTAGTCCACCACTGCGAAGCCAAGTGTGGACCCGTCGTCCACAGATTTGTTGAAATGAACACCAGCGTACATCTTGGCCAGCTTGAATTCATCAATCAAGACATCAAGCGATGTGTAGCGGCGGGTTGGTGCTAGAGTTCCTTAAATATTGCCGGCAGATGATCACGCCCCCGCCCACGATCTCGACCGGCACCACGGTCCCCCTGTTAACTTGCAATGGACATGCGCCGGCTGTGACGGTCGCCACAATTCCACTCGGATGCTCTTCTTGTGGGGGTGTCAGGAGATACAGTGTCCATGTAGGGAGAGGGGCGTGACTAGGGTCATCGACGGAGAATACTTAAGCAGGGGGTCAGAACCAGATTCTGTATTTCTTTGTGAACATGACGATGTGTGCATTGTAGATTGATACACTTTCCTTGGCAAGTTGTTCGACGCTCTTGTAGAGGGAAAAAGGTGGCGATAGAGCAGATAGGGCCACTGCCCTGGCGCTCTGCTCCCTTCCACAGTTTGAGTTGTTCACTCAGAGACAGCCTGAAAGGTCTGCGATCAATTACGTCTCCAGAGTGCGCCACAAACTCAAGCGGGTAAAGGTCAATTTGGTCGAAAGCGAAGATTGCAGCTGCTTTGCTTTTTATCGAAGTAGCGGAAGCCTCAAGGGACACGAAAGGTATTTCGAATGAGCGCAGCGTTCGCTGGACCAAGAGCGAACTACCCTGCCGGACTGCGTTTCAGCACCATGCTCTCCGCGATGTGAGAAAATATCTTATTGCTGGCGATTTCCACACCTGCCTCCTCGGTGGTGCAGTCGCCGGTGGTTTCTAGCGCTAGTAGGGCGTGCCACTGCGACAGATGCAGCTGGGTTTGCAAGCTCGACGTGAAACCCATACCAGTCGAGGGAAATAATTGGTTGAAGAGCTTGGTTCTTTGAAATGCGACATTGTCAATCGCCGCGGTCACTGACACTGGCGCCTGCAACAGAACAAGCACCACAGTTTCGCATAGTTACATCGACGCCATCGGCACTTGTCCTATGTATCTCGCCATATCTTATAGTGCATCAATTCAACGAATGATTTCATTTGTGCATACAATGCTGCAGCTTATTGCACCCACAAGACTAGGATGGTGCACAAACTTCAGATTCCATCAACTGGATAGCCAAGTACTTATGAAACTAGAAAAGTTAAAAGAGGAATGCTGCAAACTCCACCGCTGTATCAAGGGTAGCTGATCGTCAATGCCCACCTCCAGTTCCAATGTTCACTGGTCTGTTCCAAACAACCGCAAAGTAAGAGACATGCTCAAATGACACCAATGTTGAGAACCTGGCTAGCGTCGTACATAGCTCACACACCACAACCAGTTCGACGCCACCAGAGTGTGAACTTCTTTCACGGTGTTTATCAGGAATTACTTTTTAATGGTTTCATTGCCCACCATTCAAGGCAAAACACAATATCATCTACACATAAAAAGTCATGTTACAAGCTGCACATCGGATGCTTACCACTTCTTTCTGCATGTTTATCTCTGAAGGTCACCCGCAACTCAATGAAGCGAGAGATTACGAAACATGCAGACAGGAAAATAGTTGTCGTCGATGCATCCTCGTCATATCCCCACGCACCTCGGCAATGCTGACAACCCACTAGACCAGCTTTCGGAGTGCGTGATCAAGGGCCAGGAACATTTACCTTGTGCGTCCACTTTGTCAAAAACAACAACTTCAACAACAACGCCACCAGAAGGCGAACCCTGCTAGATCTGTTCCAGTGCACACTGGTTGCCTGTGATCCTGCCGCTCTATTGTCAGTTCGTTGCCTGGGATATTGAAGTCACGCCCAAATGGACATTTTGTTTATATAATATTGCGCATTGTTTATATAATAGTGCTGTGTTCTACTCCCCCTGGCTACCCAGTTGATATATGAATGGCGGTATGTTACATGACAACGGAATGTGTTCCTCTGGGAGCACCACAAGTTGATTGTTTTGCCCTCTGCGGAGTAACAGAAGACGAAGCTCTGGGGGAATTAAAACGGTAAGTTATTTTTATGAGTAGTAGTTGGATAAACCATCTAATAAAGAAATGTATCAAAAAATGATATTGTTCAGATAATCTACCTTAAGATAGGATTTAAACAAATACCAATAAAATTTTCCACTTTAAAAAAATAATGTAATGTCTTCTTTGGCATGGGTGTATTTAATTCTAATTAAAACATATTGAAAATATCATTTTGATGGAATTTATTATTATTATTATAAATTCTAATGAAAAATATGTATGTATAATTTTACTTTTTTACTTTTTAGTTCTCTTAATTTTTTGTTTTTATTTTTAAAATATTAAATTAAATTAAATTTCGAAATAAAATAAGTAGTAAGGTTGTCAACTACATGAATTCCAACAAAACTTTAAAAGAAATATATTCATGTAATAGTAAAAGAAAAGAAAGTAAACAAAGAAGAAATATATATAAGATAGAAATGATAATATAATATCTATTGCTAAATACAAAGAAATTAGAGAATCTTAAATTAAAATTGAAATATAAGCTTGACTTTGATAAGATTGAGAATGATCTAAATCTCAATTCTATATATTCTAACTACCAAAAAAGCCTTTTAGAACCTTCTAAGGACCAAAAGACTTATAACTTAAGTCTCAAGTTGTAGGTTACTTCCAATACAACTACGTAAATTTAAAAACTTAAAAGATTAGTCTGAGTAGCCATGTGACATATTTAAAGGAATTAAAATATATAATCTATATTTAGATTTTAATTTTCTTTAGAAGAAACTAATATTTATTTAATATATTTTTACATACTTCTATTTATTCCTAATTACTTATGCTATATGGACACTTGTGCTATTCCCCTTCTTTAAAGAAATGAGTTTTGCAAAGAGTAGTTAAGTTGTTCCATAAGTTATTGTAGTCTAAGATTCATCAAACTATAAATCTATATATTTATGATATTTTTTTTATTACAAATCTATTTTTATAATATTATTTTTTTAATTCTATATAAAAAAAATATTTTTTCTATACATACAATGTAATATTTTTATTTTTATTTCAACCAGATAACAAAACACTTATTGACTAAAAAATCTAAACTATGTCTTCAATAAAATGGTACAGGAACAATACACAAATTTTTTTTGGCTCTTTAAAACATTACATACTAGATTGTCATAAAAGTATATTTTTTTGCCAAATACTTAAAAAGATGGAAAATTATATTTTTACATCCTTCTCATGAAATTAGCTTGTTAAAACAAAATAGCAAAAAACTCATAAATTTTGAATACATTCTGAATACTTGTTGCATTTTTTAAATTTATGATTGTAATTTGAACAAAATTACATATTATCTGATGTTAAATATTTTTACTTTTACCAATCCAAATTTTTTATATCATTGGCTTGTTATAATATATTTTTTAAAATTTAAATTTATGGTCTTATATTTTATAAATTATTTTCCAATAATTAAGATTTTTCCATTGAGTTCAATAATCCACACATATACAAATACTTTCCTTCTCACAACCTATTATAATATCATGTATATATAAATTCAATACTTAATACTTATATACATACTAAAGTTTTGTGCTATATTTATTAGTTAATTATTTATTTAATTATTTTTTAAAAAAATTAATTCAAAATATATATAATGTTTAGAACTTCAAAAATTAATTTATATATAAAATTAATTTTAATTCTAAAATTTAATGTAAAATATACTAATATAATATATATATATATAGTATATTTATTATTTATTCATTCTATGTATTTTAAGGTATTTTAAGGTAATCTTTAGTAAAAAAAAAATTAAAAGTATGATTTGATTAACTTTTGTTTTATATATCTTAGAATTGAATTTTCTTTCAATCAATTTATTAAAAATAAATAAAATAAAAATCACATACTTAACCATATGAAAAGCCATAATATATAAAAAAATATTTATATTATTTATAATATTAATATTATCAATAAATAACTTAGAAATTTAAAAAACTCAATAAGTATGTATTTTTTTCAATTGAGTGTTTTTATTTTTTATTTTTTTTTATTGGCTCCTATCAAGGTTTTTAAGGAAATAAAACTATTTTAGGTTATTTTTATATTTGATTAAGAATTTTACTATCTATTTTTATTGTAAAAAAATTATGCATCTAAAAGCTATTATGTGCATCTAAAAGCTATTATGTTAATGTTTATATATTTTTAATATTATTAATATTATATTAGTAATTTATATTTTTTAAATTTTAATAAAAATTTATTATTTACATATATGTATGTATACAAGAATGTTAAATAGATCTAGGTTTTTACTAAATTTACTTATTCATGATGAAGAATACGGTAATCATAATGAATATGGTTGATATCATTGGTTTTGGATCTAATAATGGAGAAAGGAATCTAGATGTCAATTTGTTTTCATGATGGTTAGGATGGGTGGGTCAATTTAGTAAAAGCATGGGTCTACCTAACTAAATTGATGTACATTTTTGTGTCATTTAAATAGTTGTTTTTATAGTTTTTTAGATTGTAATTACCTCAATATCAATACTATATATTTTATATTCATTAATATACTCTCAAATAGATCTTTACCACAATATTAACTTTATGTCTACTCATCTTATCTTCAGATTTTATTTTTATTTCATATGTCCAATTTCAATCTATATTAATTTAAATATTATTTTTAATTCTTAAAATGTATTTTGCTAATTCAATATTTCAAGTTTATTTTTATTGTTTTACATAATTTAATATCAAAATTCTAAGTAATTAACTTCAATAAAATAAATTGGTTATTTTACTTCTAAATTTCATTTAACAACCTTAATCTAATTAATTTTTATTTATTATTTCTATTCTTATTTATCTAATATTTAATTTTTTAATAACTTTATTTATTTAAGATTCATAACTAAAATTTATTTTTTTTTTAAAATGATTTTTTTTTATTGATGTTTAATATCATAGTTGCCACACTTTTAATTCCCTATAAGATCTTTTTAATCTCATTTATTGCTTCTATCTAAAACATAGTTTCTTAATTTTTTAAAATAATTAAATAAATACTATTAATTTCAAGATTTCGGTCAATAAAACTTCTAAAAGTTTAATTTGTATTCTTTCTTATTGTATTAATACATTACTTTTTATTAATGAAATCTATCTATCTATCTATCTATCTATATATATATATATATATATATATATACATATCTTCTATCTTTTACTTACTAATGTCAAAAAATAATTAATGATGTTTAGATTATTAAATACCAAGTAATACTACATTAATTTCTCAAATCTTTTACGACATTTTTTAGTCATTTTTATATTATTTAATTAATTATTTTTTATTTGACTAATTATTTTTTAATGGTTATTAGTGACACACACACACATATATATATATATATATATATATATATTTAGATTATTAGCAATATATTTTTCTTCCATATGAAATATGAAAAAAATTGCTTAATATTAATATTCTATTATTATCTTTATTATAATGTTGTGTAATCTTAGCATTTAAAAACATCAAACTGTATAATATAATAGGATAAAGAATTGATTCATAAATTAGCAAAACTCGTATTTTTATCTAATGAAAATTGTAATAATTAAATCCGGATCTTTTTAAATAGTTTTAAAAGCTGTAAAAATATTTGTAGTATAATTTGTTTAAAATGATTTATTATACAAAATAGCTTAGAGGAGAAATTTTCTTTAGTAATTATGTCTTCAAAATTGTTAAATTAAAATAAATAATAATAATGACGATTTTTTAGAATATTATATGACACATTTATATTTGTTTTAAAAATTTCAATAAACTTCTTTAGTACCAATTTCTTGGTATCATTATGTAAAATATATCTTTTATCAATATTGAAGCAAAATTTAGCGAGTGTAAAAATAAAGAAATATTTTAAGTTACAAAAGAAATCTTATATTTATATTGGTGTTTATTGAATAGATATAAAATTAGTTTAATGAAAATTCCAAATAATATTTTGCTAATATTGGTTGAAGTGTACAACAGAATATACCTATATTTTTTGTTAGATGTATTACAAGACTGTTCCAAATTTGGTATTATTTATTTATTCATTTATTTATTTTTGACCAAATCATTGTTAGATGGATACATATTCTTTTAAAATTGTAATATTTGGCCACCTTCTTGTTGCCAATATAATTTAATAATTTTAATATTTTCTTCTTTATGATGTAGATTGTTATTCCAACAACCATTTTTGTTGTTGTTGACTTGTATTTGTTACTTGATATTTATATTTGGTTAAATATATTTTCGTATTTTTTAAAATCGATTTCTTACATTTTTCATGTATTTCTCTTGCAATTATTTTTAGATCTATTAAGTATATTAAGTTATTTGATTTTCTAAGAGTTGTTCTTGTATAATTTTAATAAACCAATTCATAAGATATATTTTCATTAAAATTTGACGATATATATATATACATATATATTTTGTTATTATAGCAACTATAATAAGTTTTTTATATACAGACAAAATAGTTTAAATTTCAAGGACCTATCTGCATACCATTTAAAAGACTAATACATACTACATTTGGGTTTGAGATTATGCTAAAATGCTCTGATTAAAAAATCAAAGATTTTACAATCCACATTCATAGAGTACAATTTATGATTAAGTTATTTATCTTTCTAAAATAATAAGAGAGATTACAATATTCTCATTATTAGGGTGATTAAAAAAATGCAAAAGTTGGTAACAAATAATTCTATAGCTAAATTTGCTTCCATAAGACAAAGATATTTATAAAGAAAATCGGTTTCAACTCAACATTTTCAAAATCACAAGTCAAACTTACTGAGAGACGAAAAAATAACCCAATCCCCTCAGTTGAAGAAACTCCAAAATGTGCCACAATATACTTTGCAGTACAATTGACATACTTTGCAGTACAATTGCCCAAGCCTCGTTCTGATTTTATGTTAAAAATTGGGCATTTAGATCAGCTGACTTTACAACAGCAGACAGCTGTGAAACACATTCATTTTGTACAACAGATCCAATGTAATATGCAAACAAACCATCCTCTGCTTGGCCGAACCTCACAGCTCACGTGCATACCTTTACATCAAGCATACCGACAGCAGTGTGCAAAAATTCTGTTTCCCAAGAATTACTCAATCTAAGACTACTTCTGCTTTTCCTTTCTCCTCTACCAGTGCTACAAAAGGGGTTCAACTACAGCTCCACTTCTTTACTTGCTACAAGACTTCATCCAAGAGTTGAAGAGCCTGATGAGCTCAACTTGCCTGTCTTGTGGTATAATACACCAGAGACTAACAAACACCTAACAGTTTCTTAGAACAAATAGCAATACAGACTGCAGGTGGTTGGCAAGGCCAAGTGAATATAGCTTGCTATTTCCAACACCATTCTCCTCAATGTGTAATAGACATTACTATAGCTAGCAATCTGATGGCTCTTCCTCACAGCTCATCATGAATCTTAATATCATGGATATAGACAGGTGTAAGAGGTCTATCCTTATCATCTGTCTCCACGGACTCAATAGCCTGCAGAATAAATAAAAACATTTAAGGATACCCAAAGTCCACATACATATCTGAAAAAGAATTCTTCAATTTTGTTCATACAAGCACAAAAGAAAAGTACTATGAAAGGATTGATATTAAAAAAAAAAAAAATTGACCAAATGATGGGAATACGCAGGGCCCTCCAAGCATTACCTGAACCACATCTTTACCACGAACAACACGTCCAAACACAGTGTGTTTCATGTCCAAGTGCGGTGTGGCAATTGTGGTTATGAAGAACTGCGATCTATTTGAATTTCTTTCGCCTATGTTTGCCATTGATAGAGTGAATGGTTCATGGATCAACCTGTCAATAACAGAGAACGAGATGAATATGCCGGTGAATGGAAGAGGAACATCACATGCAATAATAACATCTTACATAACTACACAAAACTGCCATGTTTCTAACAAAAACCGAGGAAACTGTCCACCAAAAAGTCACATAATGTGCAAACAAACTAGGTGCAGACTTCATACTCTTTGTTCAATTCATCCCTGAAGCTGCCGCCCCAAATTGACTCACCACCCATTCCATCGCCCTTTGGATCACCGCTCTGAATTATGAAGTCCTTGATGACACGATGGAACAGCACTCCGTTGTAGTAGCCATTTTTACTGCACGTACATCCTTAATGAATGACTGCCATAGATTAGGGGATGCTGATTGCCAGCTCTACTATCTACCTGTAAATATGAAAAGGCTATCATCCTTTATCCTCTCATTCAATCGCAGAAAGTGGAACATGGAGAGGTGTCAGGAGGTGTAGTACCTATGTGTGATGAAATTCTCCACAGTGAGAGGTGTCTGCTTTCCAAAAAGCTCCAAGGTGATAAATCCCTTCGTAGTGTTCAGGGTCTGTCATCAAGTTAAGATTACCATGTAAGCTATAGCGTCCTTGTCCAACCCTTTTCGGAAGAGCTGCAGATTTATTTATAATTATTGAAGTAAAATATCACGAGCTGAAACTTAGACGCAACAGCAACAGCTGAGCAGATCTGCATGTAACGCATTTTATGGTCCTATTAACCCTATTTATGCACTTCGCAACTAACACTAAGCCTTCTTTTCAAGAAAGAAATTGTGAAAAAACAAGCAAAAGGAAACAAGAAAAGTCAAAAATCAGGGTGAAGAAATCGTTTTCATACAGAAACAAAGTCTTTTTCATAGGTACTTTGGTAGACATGCATGAGCCAAATTGAAGGTGTGGATTCGTAAATTTTTTATAATACGCTTTAAGACCTAGAACAAATATACCCTGCAAGGCTCGTGCTTACTTAACTTAAAATTGCAGGGTAAACTTAACTGTCGGGACTTGACGAATTGATGCTAAAATGGTTATGCAAAAAGATATGGAAGAGAGTTTGTACCGCATATCGGGGGAAGACACTCCCATCTAAACCTGTCTTATCATCAGAATTCTCATCGGCAGCCTGCACAACGTCATAACCAAGGTGAATTCCAGAAACGAAACTCAGGTAAGACTCTAATCCAGGACTAAGCCAGACAAAGATACGTTCAAACCAGGACAAAGTGTTCGCCAGTACCCAGTGAACTATTACCTTAACGTCGACGACATCAATGTTTTCTTGTAACGCAGTCCTATCTATGTTCCTGCAGCACCACCAAAATCTCTTGAATCACCTAGAACTGAAGATATAGGATTCAAATTAAAAGCCCTAGAAAATTCCATAAAATGTGTAAACAGCACCCTTGGGCGTCTCACACTATTCCCATCGCCTAAAACTAATTTTAATAAGAAACTATATAAAATTGGATCAAGATAGCCACGAAAATCCGACTCACAATCCAAAAGAAATAATAAATTTAGTAGCAGTAGCAGAGGGAGAAGAAGAAGAAGAAGACAGCTTAAGCAGAGTCCACCCTTACCCTCCAGATTTGTATCTATGCATGGCTATGACAGACATCATCAAGAGGATGACGACCACTCCAACCATCACGATCGTGCCAGCGCTCAGGCGCGCCGGGCCTTTCTTCTTCTTACTGTGCTGCAACAATGCAGCCGGCTTCATGCGGCCCATCGTAACAGATCGAACCACAGCTAAAGCTAACACTTAAAAAAAAATCAAAAAATCAAAAAAAAAAAAAAAAGAAGAAAAAAAAAACAAACAAACAAACAACAACTCACAGTCTATAAATCCTCGCTACAAATTCTCGCTACAAATCCCCGTTCCTCCCCGCACAGCTTGTGCTCAGAACCCTAACTCCCCTCAGCACTCGCTAACTCGGGGATTCACCGCCCCTTCATGACCAGTTTCGCCATCTACACCATCTCCTTCTCCAAGGCAAGAGAAATAAACAAACATAAAACAAAATAAAAAACATTAATATAAAGAATGACCAAAAAAGTATTTTAAAATTTAAATAGTTTTAAAAGTTCCCCTAAAGTCTTCTGGAAATTTCCAGCTATTGCCTATTAGAAGAATCGTCGAGAGAGATACAGCACCCTGCGAGAGATGCAAGAGGACGGGGGATTGAACGACGGAGATGGAGCCCGGCGGTGCAGCAAGCAAGCGAGCCATCAATTAAGGCACGCAAGCAGGCGATTGAATTTCCCATCATCAACTGGCAACTCCTCGCACGGTACCCGGATCTATACCCTAGTAATCTCCGCCCGAGTCTTTTTCTCGACACCATCCTGGTACGCATCGTTTTTTTGTCCGGAAGTTCATTTGAGAACCGAGGATCTAGCTGGCGGAAGGATTCTAGATCGATTCGAGCAACGCGACATGTCGAGACTTTCGTATAGAAGTTGTGTTTTGAGGGATTTCTTGATTTGGGGCAATTTTTTGTTGCTTTGGTTCTCTTGAAAAAGTGTAAAAATTTCATGTGTAAAAATTTCATATGTAAAAATTTCATATATCTATATATATATATATATATATATGAAAAGTTGTCAATATAAACATATGTAAAAATTTCATATATACATACATATATATATATATATATATATGAAAAGTTGAGGTCTTATAAAATTATAAAGAATTTGAAATTGTGCATACATTTTTTTAATTTTAATTTTAGAATTATTATCATTTTTAATTATTTTTTTGTAATAAATTAAGTAATTGATGTAAAAATATAGCCTTAATTAAGCCAAAGTATTAGGCATTTTATTAAAAACTTCAAAATTAGAAAAATACTTTAAATTATTCTATTCATATTTTTCTATAAAATATTAGAATTGATTTTGTCCCTACTTAATACCATTGAATTTAAGAATTTTAAGTACATAGTATTCAAGGAGAAGATTATTATTTTAATTATTTATCTTATATTTATTTTGGTATATATTTTTTAAATATTTTTAACATATTGAAAAATGGCTATTTATATGTCGTAAATTTTTTAATTTAAATCTACCTGGAATATTTTTTTCATTGCTATTATCAATTTAAGATTCAATTTTTTGATATATTTAATTTTTCAAGGATATGAATTTTGAAAAAAATCAAAAGATAATACACTCATTTATCATTGAAGGAAGGAGAAAGTAAAGAAAGTAGATATAGATATAATATAGAAACAATCTAAAATAATAATTTTCAAGTACAAAGAAACTAAAGAGACTTTAATTAAAATTAGTATAAAAAAAAGGGATTAACAAGACTAAGGATGGCTTTATTTTTGTCTCTATATATACTAGTTACTAAAAAGTATATAGCGGCCTTTTAAAGATCACTTTGTTGATAAGAAAAGTGGACAATATTTAAAAGAAGTCACTAATATGTACAACATGAAGCAAGCTTGACAACAAATGTGTCTAGTATATAAAATGTCTATAAGTCCAATCCACATCTAAGATGTATCTACTATATTATTTTAAAAAATATATATTACATCAATATAATTATATATCTTTCTATTCACTTCTATTTACTAAGTAATTTATTCATTTTGTTAAATAATTCATCTTTAATAAACAAGTTCCATGAAGAGCAATTGAGATCTTTCTTAAGTTGATGAAATTTAAGATCCATTGATTGGTATTAGCAACACACTCTTATCTTTATTTCTACAAAGGTAATTGATAAGTTCTTTGAAACATTGATAATTCTTTATACTAAGACGTAAAGACCACCTAATTATTTTATCATTATTGGGACCTTTATAATTACCTTCAAACAACACATTTTAAATGCTATCAAGTGTAGTTTCTATCTCCAGTGGTATTACTAAGCATTGAATTTTTTTTCCAAGATTGTGGTATCAACTACATTGAATCTTGTCATCTATTTGAAGAAATACATGTTTCTCTTGAGGATCTTCATCATGATTCCAATGTTATCTAAATTGAGACAATTTAAGTGTTTCATATGATAATCTTAAAAATAATAATTCTTGAAGTAAATCTGCCAATTATTGGTTCTTTATATTGCAAATAAGTTGTATAAGTAAATAAATAAGTTCTATAAGTAAATCTTTAAACTTGTTATTCCTTCATATATACCATCTTGTTTTTAATGGTTGGTCATTGGTTTTAATAGATATAGTTAAAAAAAAAAAAAAAACAAAAAAAAAAAACAAAAACAAATTCTAATACATTTGTAAGGTTCTCAGATGGCTCTCATATATATATATTTATTAATATTATATTTGAGTCAATATATAAACTATTTTAATTTATTTTTATGCTCTCTTCAATTCAAGGCTTCTTTGACTTTGAATTCTTGGTTGTCATCTATTTTAACAATAAGTGGTAGTAAATGCTTTCATTTCATAGGTTGATTGCAATATAAAATTCAATAGAAGATGCATAAAATATAAGGCGAATTTTTATAAACTATGGTAATTACAATTGATATGCAATTTGATTAATTTTATTTAAGATAATAAATAGGTCAAGCCTTTGAAAATCCAACTTGTCACAAGATATGTTGGTCTCAATATTATAGTGGAGTAATCAAACATTATCACCAATTTTAATCAAAGATCATTTTTTTCTAAACACATTTGCATTGTTTATTTTTATTTTAAAGCTTCATTTATTGTATCTTCATTATTGTATGAAGCTCTTTTATTGCTGTTGCCAAATCCTATGTTATTAAATTGTTAATTTTTGAAAAATAAAAAGTATCAAATTGAAGATTATGGCCATATTTTTTAAAAAAGGATTTTTAAAATAAAAGAATATATTATAATATTATATAAATTATTTTATAGTGACAAATTTTTTTTTCAATTTTCTTAATGATAGTTAATAGTGCATTACAAATACTATCTTAAATCTAGTTTATTTTTTATTTTTTTATTAATTTAAAGATTAAAAAAATAAGTGATAATTTAATAACTTTTAATATGTTAAAGTGTATTTTTCAAAAAATGATATAAATTAATAATCTTGAATAAATATAATATTACTTAAAAGACTATGATATTAATTAATATTAACTAATAAAATAAAGGTTTTTCTTTTTCTTTTTCTTTTGTAGTAATAGTTTTTGCACATGGTATAAAATGCATCATTTTGATTTGACAATGTTGTAATATAATATGGCTATCAGATAAAAGACCACAAGAAGACTAATAATCTAAAAGAACTTTATTGAAAATATAGTAAAAAATTACTTCAAAAATTATAAATTAAAGATAAGAAGAAGTTAAAAAAAATAGTATCTATATTGCTTATTTTGCTAAAATAAATACTACTTACTTTGTAGAGACATATATAAGGCAAAAAAGGTGGATCAAGAAAATAATACTATTAACATCTTTAAGTAAAAATAAAAAATAGTTTCTAACAAAAATTACCTAAATATTCTTAGATTGATACTTAAGGATGACTAATTGTGAATCAAGGTCAAAACCATAATCCAAGGTATAAAATTTTATGTCTTTGGTAAATAATATATTTTTTTAATCTAATAGGAAAAAAAAATTATAAAATAAACTTAAGAAAATTCTATAAACATCTTTTAAGAGGATTTTAAGTTTGAATAATTTTGTGAGGGTTATACAAAATCTAGATTAGATCTAAGTGATTCTAATTTTAAAAAATAATATAATATTTATATTTGATAGATTTTTGTAATTATTTATAGGATACCTATATATAAATTTTGGTATGATTGTAAGAAAATTTTAAACTAGTTGCCAACATGTATGATACATATTTAACTTGTTGGATAAGTTTCCAACCTAACAATTAGCTATAAACATGTATAAAAAAAAAATGTGTATATAAAGCTTCTAAGAAGCTTTTTCATAAGATATTATCAAATCTACTTAAATTTATCTTTTACTTAAGACTTTTTATATAAGTAATTATATATGTTTGTGATATTAATTCTACTTTTAGGAACAAGTTCTACAAAAAGTAATGATCATATTTTGATTCTTTATTTTGATTTTAATGGATGTCATTGTTAAAAAGCATCAACCTTTTTATTGCATTTCTAAGGTTTGTTATTGACTTTCATGTGCATTTACTAATATCATATCCATGCTAATGTACAAAATATTTCAATCTATTATAGCATTGCCTTAAAATCTAAGATTGCTTCTACCTCAAATTCTTGATTGTTATTCATTTCTATAAGAAAGGATGGCATTATTCTTGTTTTTGGTATATCCATTGTCTTATATGGCTCAATAATAAATACTTGAAATTCAATATGGATTTTTATAAACTCTAAAAAATATAATTTATATTTAATTGAATTGATTTATTTACAAATAAGAATTAGTCTAAGTTTCTAATAATTCAATTTGTCACAAGAGCCACTTTTCTTAATATTATGATGAAATAACTATATCTTGTTGTTAATATAGAATGAAGATTGTTCTTTAGTCAATCTTTTGTTCTTGAAATTCCTTCAATTGTGCCTTCATTTTTGCATGTAACTTAAATAAAAAATTTACCAAATCTTTTGTTGCTTGATTATTAACTTTTGAGAAATAAAAAAGTATCAAATAGTAGATGATAAACATAATCAATAAAGAAAGATCTTTGTTAAGTAGAATAATATGCCATGTTATTATAAATAAAATTTATTAATAGTAAAAGAGTTGTTCAATCATCTTGATAATAATTGATGTTACACTTCAAGTGTTATTTCTAAATTTGATTCATTCATTCTATTTGTTTATCAATTTGATGATAAAATAATCAAAGATAATTTTATGCTCACCTTCAATATCTTGAAAAATATTCTTTGAAATCTTAATATAAATTAAATTCTTCTATATAATCCATTTTTCTTTGATAATCTATAATGGCAATAAATATTGTTAAAAAGTATTTTAGTTGTTTCTTCACTTGTGATAAATTTTGTTTATGGTATAAAATATATTATTTTATTGAAGCAATCTACTATCACAAATATAGAATCTTTATTGTTTTTGCAATCAAAATATGTTTTTAAATTCTAATCTTGACAAAAACATACTTCAATAAGCTTAGCAACATGAAATATTTGAGATTCTTATAATTAGTATATATGGTAATCAAATTAGAAGGCTCTTTTAGAAAATGGTGTTGTTTTTGAAATGAATCCATAACTGCAAGAAATTCTTTGTTGTGGATCTTGTAGTTGAT